GGAAGGGTTACGTTTTTAAAATAACAATTTGTCTGATAACAGGTTAGCAGAGTTTTTGCAGGTAACGCAGTGTAATCCCGTTATAATAATTGAGTACATTTGGGATCCGTGCAAATTCTTCTCGCGCAAAGCTATCACGAAGGCGGTTATGTTTCACACGTTCATCCTGCAATGGTTTCACACGAGGGGAGCAATGTTGCTATGTGTAATCCAATGTGAGTAACTGTGCAGGTCATTTTTCAAATGTACACCATGACGCTGGCAGTCGAAGGCTCATTATTTTTTTGTGAACGTCACAGAATCTTGAACGTTAGTTCACCTTGAGAATTAACCAGGAGGGCCTACCAGATTTGAACTGCGACCGTCTACAGCAAGTGGCGTACACGCCGTCGCTGGACCATGCCTGTTACTTTTGTGATATTACTCTCTCCGAATTAGCGTATTTTACTTATATTAAAATTTAGTGATAAGAGCAATTTGTTGTAACTGTAGCCACTGGTTGCTACTGCTGCCCTCGTGTTAACTTGAGCGGATGACACCAAAATTTCCCCCTTTGGCCTTTGGAATAAAACAAACTGAAAGTATGTGAAAGACAATGAACTGGTATTTTATCAATTATGATAATCTGATTGCATACTGAATGGAGGAATAGTATCAGATGACTGATATCTGGCTCAAGTGATGGGATTACTTATAATGTGCTACTCCCCAACTCCACAGCACACTTTTGTGTGCACACCGGAATCTTGAAAACAAAAGAGAGTGGAAGTTTTGGAAATTTAACAAAACAAACATCCAGTAAAATGTTACTTTTACTCCCAACAGTAAGTGATTCACATTTTATGCAAGTTTTTTTTAATGGACTCCTAAGAAAAGCGGATGGAGAAACCCCCAGATATGTGACAACGTTTGTCCTGCCTTTGTCTGGAGTAATAAGGGATAACAATAGATGAATCCTAATTCCCATGCGAGAAAAAAGCTTGATCACACTGTGCTGACGAAACTCGGGAAGTGAAAACCTGGCGAAAAATGTTCTGCTTAAACAAATGTGGCTGGGAAACATTGCTTAACATGACCCGATGATCCACTTGAATGTTTGTTCAGTTTTAATTGTGTGTGATTAAACAGTGCTATCACTTGAATGTTACCAATCATACACGAGACTCCATCCAGATACCCCACGACCTTCAGCAGAAATCCCATATTAACGCCAAGCCTGAAAGTTAGTATCCCATTCAGTAGTCATCCCATTCAGTCGTCATTTTCCAAGACGAGGTCACCAAAGACTACGCCTCACTGTCAGAGAAGCAGCAGAACCCCATCCGAGGGCTCTGCCCCTTAGCCATGACTCCCTAATCAGTGTATTTTCTGAGTGTTTAAAACAAAATAGAAACATTTTACGCGTGGTTATTGCTTGGAGGTTGGAGTTATAGCTAGGGTTCTGCCAAGGTCCCGTGTCAATTGTTTAATGGAGAAGACGGTCCATTAAGAAAAGCAAACCAACTGATGCAATTGCAAATCAGCATGTTATTATTCTTACAAGCCAGTCAGACGTCAGTCTCACCCTCCTCGAGTGTGGGGAGGCGCTCATCTCCATTAGCCTTACCCCGAGCCTTGAGCAAGTTGTAGAAATGTCATACCCTACAGCGTGAGTCAATCTCCATTATGGCAACCGTTGTAGACTTCCAAATAGGGAGTACTCATTTTATCACTCCTGCAGGGATAAGCCAGGTCGACTCCTTGTTCAGCATTGTCAGTTGAGAGCTTTAAACCGCAGAACCACCCAGTTAGACATTACGAGTTTCATTCTAACACCTCCACGTGCCTATACCACAAACTGCACTTTACAGACTCATGAAAGCACAGTTGCAGGGAGTGGACTGCAACACTTTGCGTACACATTTACATCGGTGTAAAAACACATTTACATTTCCTTAGGGGAAGCGCTCCTGAAAGAGGGGGGGGGGGACTTCGACACATTTCACAATTTGTCTGGGTTACGTTAGCCACCATCCACAGCTCCTGCCATGGGTTTGAATCAAGCAAACCCCCTGGCCAGTGACCAGTCTGGATCTGTATATAGTTATTGCTTCGGCGCTTAGGTGAGAAACTTTCCCACGATGGGTTTTGCAGCTTAAAACACAATTCCGTACATGGCGTTACGTCAAATATTGTTGCATGGTAAATGTGTGCCATAGCAACGAATGGTAAATATTTAATATTTCATCGCTATGGTAATTCATGTTCAGGAATGTCCTTTCACACTGAACCTATTCACGGACACCACCACCACCACCACCAATGTTCCGCCAAGGTGGCACGAACACATAGTAATGCATGCGAGGCCATTTATTACGGTGGCGACGAGATAGTAACCCAGCAGGCACAGAATGAGTCACCGATCGCATGACCTGGGTAACTGCCACGTTTTTTTAGGTCGTGATTCCGAGTCGCGTCCTCATTCGTCCTGCTCGTTGCCATCTCCACTGTAACCATCCTACAAACCTCCTACGGTTCCTGGTCTTGTTCGTCTCTCCGTCTCTTCAGTGCCATGAACCTGAACGCGATGTGCGCATGGAATGCGCATGAATCGTTCATCATTCATGACTATGCGCACAATTCAATGCGCGTGTAAGAGCATAAATAATCGAGGTTTACATGCCTAATATCAAACCACCAAAGCAAATCATGCATGACTAAAGGCTGTAAAGATCGCGGTTCGCTCAAATTATTGATGAAAAAAAGCTACCGTGAATTACGACAATTTCCCACCTTGACTTGATTGTCTTAAACTCTTCACCCAATGATGGCAGAAATCTTTAATGAGCGCGTTAAGGTGTTTAACAGTTTAGTGGAATGATTTATAAAATATATTTGCTCCCTAACGATAACAGGTAATAATGACTCCACGAACTATGAAAACTACCCCCCCCCTCACCAAAAACTGGCAGGCTTGCATTCGATTTATGCATACATAAAAAAATGCAAAACTCTTGTGAAAACTATCATTTGGGATTGGACTAATGGCAGGGTTTGGACAAAATAAGAAAAACGGGGACTACACTGCAAAGTAATAATGCCTCATCCGAGGTATAACATTAATGTTTAGAGCACACAGACGTGTTAAACGTTCCATTTGAATCCTGCTTGTGTATGTTGCAAAGACAAAGATCCCCCGTATAGTCTTGTTGGGGCAAGTGCTGTTAGCGAGCACCTATGAAGGCCGGCAAGGAACACAGGGGGTTGAGTGGCCAGCACCACGACCCCCAGTGGCGATGTTTACACACCGCACGAGGTACTCGTTTGAGACCGAATCGTGCTCGGGGAGGCCCAGGACCGGTTCAGATAATCGTTACTGGTGTTGGCCGTGAGAGGGAATCGAACTCAAGAAGACCACGAATTGCTAGTTTAACAACAACAAAATGGAAAATGAAGGACAAAAAAGACATATCTATAAAGTGAAGTTTATCCACAGTTTAACCAAACTAGTTACCCACAGTAATAATGCCCATGTATTTGAGTGCCATTCCACCATACGCAACAAGTTCCCTGGTGCATACATCGATGTAAAATCATCTACAGCACTGAGACTGCAGTTTGTACGGTTGGCACAGTTTGCTTGGTAGGAGGCTTTACTTTAGCTTAACAGTGTGTCTTGTTCTGTAATTGATAATCATGGTGTGGCAATCTCAAAATGCACTCGTCAGTGTCTTAATTTCATAGCTAAATAAAACAACGTAACACAGACAGTGCATTTCAGATGCAAAAAAAGCATTAGATGGCAGAACGATCGTTGAAGCTACATAGATGGTTTTGTTGCTGGGCTATAGTGACGAGGCCTAGTGTGGCTATGAGGACAGCCTTGCCAAGGCCCCGATCGGTGCTTGTGGGCCACAGGCTTCAAGCTATTTGCTTTGTGACAAAATACATCGAATTAATATTCAATGCGATAGTCTTACACAGGCTCAGACACGGATACATACAGTCACACATAAAACAGGCATACACCACTAATCATCAGATGTGTATACACATGCTGACACACAATGGTCTCCCATTTGGCCGATAGACTGTTAAAGCAAGCGCTGTTACCAGCGCTGTCTTATTAAGGCGAAGCGGAAGAGCCTGTTGAGGCCAGGTAAAGTGTCCAGAATCACAGATGTCTCCCTGGTACTCATTCCTGGCTGTATTTATAGAAGGCCTCAGGTCAGGTTCATGGGCATCAACTGCCATTGGTGTTGTGCATGGTCAAAAAAACGCACCAAGCTTCACTGCAAATTGTCATGCAGTGTGCAAACAACTAAAACATCACACCAACAAACATTCATTTAAATCACACATACACAGAGTGGAATTTTCTGGGACCATTTTCAAGTGGAATATCTCCCAACGCAGGAGACACTAGGACACATCAGTATTGAGAAGTGATTCGCACACACACGCCTGTAAGGAAAACCACGTGTACAAAAACACAACAGCCTCGTCACCTGCAGTGTTTGTACCAAGGTAGGTGTAGTTTGAGGCCGAGTAGTGTAGAGAACACTCATGAGTGAGCTCAGAGGCCCGGGTCATGTTCAGATAGCAATGATACTTGCATCAGTGTGAGGAATAGAACTGCAGTGAGAGGTAGCACGGAGCTCCAATCATTAACTCCACTGCATATGCACGCAAAGGCACAAATAGAGGTGCGCATACATATACACATTATCTGCAAACAAAAATCCCCCATACACACTCACTCACTTACAAACATACAATAGCAGTCAATGCAATGATTGGTCACAGTTCAGTGATAAAGCTAAAAAAAGTAGGAATCAAGTGTAAAATTGCGTGCCGGACACACACAGACAACAGTTGGCGCATGGGAGGAATACATATTTTGCCACGTGGAGAAAAAAAAACCACATAGCAGTGAAAAAATGGACTCAAAATAATAAAAACGCTTGCATAACACTGCAAACAGAAATTGCACGTACCAACCGCCAGAGCTCATTGATGTCTTTTCCAGTTTTCTCCTTTCTCATTCCAGCTTACTTTTTTATTCAACGTACTCTCGCTTGTGCAGTATTAGACAATCGTAGTAAAACGAGGACGTTCCAGTGATGTCCTTCATGCGAACGAGCTTAAAACAGTTCTTCAATAAAAAGTCACAAGTGAAAAAAGTCCCAGTGCTCAAAAGGGCATTTGGGCAGCAATAAACTCCATCAGTGGTATAAGTTCCATACTCCCACGGCAGGGAAAGCCAGTCGAGGACATCCACAGGACAAGCACTGTCGACGTCCCACAACGTGGAGTTCATTTTGTTGATGATGATGATGATGACACCCAGAGTTGAACTCTCGCGCTCGAAATGTGAGTGGGGTGTTCTTACAATGGCGTCACCCAAGTGAATAACGCACACTGCAGAACTAACACGAACAGCTGAACTCGGGGGTTGTTATGAAGTCCACCAACTACTGCCCCCCTCCGGAACCAAAGTTTCCACGCGCGCCTGCGATTCACATCGCCTTCGGACCGGCGAACGCGCCTGGCAGCACACTCTCGGTGGATAAAGCTTCTTCCTCCCCCCACAACCCTGCGAGCCGGCGCCCCGGCGCCATCAGATGCTGTGTAGGGGTTTGCTGTGCCCGCCGAGCGCCCACGCGTGGCACCCCGTGCTGCCCTGGTCGTACGTGCCGCTCAGCGCACGTCGGCGTCGCAGCGCCCCCCACGGAGCGGCGGGGCCGCCGAGCAGCGAGGGTCGTGCCGTACACCCGGGCAGCGGCGTGGGGGCCTCGGGCACGGCTTCCGCCGACGCCGCCGCCGACTCCACGGCAAGCGCTGGGCAGGCAGATGAGGAGGCGTCTCCACCAGCGTCCCCGCTTGCGTCTCTCCCGGGGTCTCTGCTTGTGTCTCCGCCGATGCCCCTGCTGGGCTGTCCACCACCGTCCCCGATTGTGCCTTTCCCGGCATTCCTACTTGTGACTCTGCCAGTGTCCCTGCTTGTGTCTCTCTCGGTGTCCCTCCAGGGCTGGGTGCTACTGAGCTGGTAGGCGTTCAGCTCATGGGATATGAGCTGGGTATTGCACGGCTGGTCGGTGCTGGGCTGATGATTCCCGAGATAGGTGCTGCAAGGCTCACTGCTGTTGGCTTGGTTGTTGCTCGGCTGGTGTGTGTTGAGCTCAACGGTGCTAGATTGGTATTTGCAGGGCTGAGCGCTGCTGAGCTGGAAATTGCTGCTGGATTCGTAGGTTCTGCTGGGCTGATAGGTGATTGCTTCGTAGGTGCTGGGTTGATGGTTACTGGTACTGCTGGGCTGATAGGTGCTAGGTTGATGGTAACTGGTACTGCTAGGCTGGTAGGTTTTTGGTTGGTAGGTGCTGGGTTGATGGTTACTGGTACTGCTGGGTTGGTAGGAAATAGATTGGTAGGTGCTAGGTTGATGGTCATTGGTACTGCTGGACTTATAGGTGTTAGGTTGGTAGGTGCTAGGTTGATGGTCATTGGTACTGCTGGACTTATAGGTGTTAGGTTGGTAGGTGCTGGGTTGATGGTCATTGGTACCGCTGGAGTTATAGGTGTTAGGTTGGTAGGTGCTGGGTTGATGGTTACTGGTACTGCTAGGCTGGTAGGTTTTTGGTTGGTAGGTGCTAGGTTGATGGTCATTGGTACTGCTGGACTTATAGGTGTTAGGTTGGTAGATGCTGGGTTGATGGTCATTGGTACTGCTGGACTTATAGGTGTTAGGTTGGTAGGTGCTGGGTTGATGGTCATTGGTACTGCTGGACTTATAGGTGTTAGGTTGGTAGGTGCTGGGTTGATGGTCATTGGTACTGCTGGACTTATAGGTGTTAGGTTGGTAGGTGCTGGGTTGATGGTTACTGGTACTGCTAGGCTGGTAGGTTTTTGGTTGGTAGGTGCTGGGTTGATGGTCATTGGTACTGCTGGACTTATAGGTGTTAGGTTGGTAGGTGCTGGGTTGATGGTCATTGGTACTGCTGGACTTATAGGTGTTAGGTTGGTAGGTGCTGGGTTGATGGTTACTGCTCGACTGGTTGCAACCAGGCTGATGGACCTTTCCTGCCATTTGTGAACTCAGAACTGAAACTTGGGGTAACAGAAGCTTGGAGAGGCCTGTGGATTTTAAAATAACAAGAGCGTCATCACCTGGGCAGTTAAACAGATCCATGTGCTCACTGGAAGCACAGCTCTAAATCAAACGCACGAGCTAAGCATACACAAGTGTCTATCCTGCTCAGTGCACCAACATGGCAGCACTCATATTCACTGGTGGGCCGACGTCCAAGGTGAAAATTCCACATTCCCATTCCAGAGGGCAGTCTCTGCATACATAATGATCGCTGTAGATTTCTAGCAAACTGGTACCTATTTGTATCAACCCTGGAGGGATTATGGGCTCAGCCAACTCCCTACCACGACTTTGTGATTGTGAGCAGAGGGCCCAAGCCACAGCACCACCCAACTAAACTTACTGATCATGGTCCCTCACATCTAAAGGAATGTCCAGCCACTCGCACATCAAATGCAAGCCATTTCAATGACAGGACTTTCCACTGCTGTTTAGTTTGCTTCATGCAACGTTATTATCTGGACTGGCTGAGGCTACCTTGAACAAAGGACAGGTGCAAACCAGGGCACAATCTAATCGTGAAATCATCAACAATAACCAACACAGGCAGCGCTTCTTATCTGCGAAGCGTTTTCCAAAAACGTGAAGATTTTTTTTTTTTTAACGGATCAAGTGTTGGTCAAAATGTCAGGACCGACAACTCAATTGCTTATCACATCAACACCTTTTGCGTGAACTGGTTCATAAAAAAAAAAAATGCTTGCAGTTTAATAACAGAATACAAGACTGGTGCACAGCTGCACGCCGGTGCTGGTATTTGACATTTCGCTCCCATGGACAAAGCCAATTCAAGAAACATTATTACTGTTATCTATCACAACTATGACAGTTGCTGGTTGTTGCTGGCCTCTTGACGTTTTGAACCCTTGGGGGCCTGTGCTCAGCAACTGTTGTTGAATAATATAGTCTATTGCACCGGTTAGTCTTAAGGGTTTAATTGAGCCCATGGGCCCCTATGTAAGGCTATGGCTGGAGATTAAATCTGAGGGGCCACTGCTAGCTCTTGGAATCTCGTGGTAGTCTATTGGCTCTCTGCTATACTGTGTCCCCCCCGTTTAAGTGTAAGGAGCAGAGTAATCACAAACCCAAACTGTCCCTCACAGTGAGCAAGGTGGGCTTGTATGCATTAAGCCCCCGCAGCGCAAGGCAATGACCATATCATAACGATGATTCCTAAGAAGGATTAAACCGGTGTACAGTTGTCTCATTGTCCTACTGCTGCATACAATAACGTGGCGCCAAATTAGAATGTTGGTCTCAAATAAGACTGTGAGCACTGTACATACAGTACGGCGATGTCACGTGACACGTTAGGCATGATGGGAGTACCCATCCTATGGTCACAATTTCAACATTTGCTGTCCACAGATCACCATTTTGCGTGCAGTATTATTACTACTACGGTGATTTGTTTCCAGCCGGTATTCACAGAAAGTGTTCGAGAGTTGGTCTGCTGATAAACACCCTGCATTGTTCTAATTTGGGATGACATATTGCAACATCGTCTCCCTTCTGCTACTTTGCAGGACCCTCCTGAAAAGAGTCTTGAAAAAGAGTCGTCAGGTTTGAAAATATTAAAATTATTTACTAAACTATTTTATTTTACCAGCCAAGGTCCATTGAGCTATATAAGCTATTCTTTCAGAAGCGACCTGGCCACAAATGATAGCTCAACCAAGTGGCTTATCACGAAGAAATTTCTAGCGGCGAGATCATCCAAATAACACGTTTCTAAACATGGAGGGAAAACCCGGAGGACCCGCAGAAAGATTCCACGCGACGATGGGGAGAGCACACGCAAACTCCAAATATACAGGCGTCAGGGTCGGGATTCAACCCACGACCAGGGAAGGTAATTAATATCTGGCCACCGCGGCGCCCCAAGATTTGACTGCGTAAACAAGTGGAATCACAACCGTGATAACATTAAGTACCGAGGGCGCGGAGGAGCTCACGGCGCACGGTGGCCGTGAACGTGCGCACCAGGCACAGCGTGCTGAGGCCCGCGAACAGCAGGTTGTACGACAGCACGATGTGGAAATTGCCAAGCCAGTTGAAGCGGCCAAAGTTGCCGAGCAGGTCGAAGTTGGTGATGCCTGCGAGCACGGAGACACAGCGGGGGGTGGGGGGGCACAGGAGGTGACGCGGCTGCCAAGAGAGATCCACGGCGAGGCGACCTGCTTGACGTGCAGGCGAGGTGTGTGTTGATGTACACCCAGTTTTACATGGTACCAATCGCGACCGCTCGATCGACTGATGGACATAATTTTAATCGTCTTAGAGCATGGCGAGAACTGACATTTGGCACGATTATAGTTGAATATATGCGAACAAGAACAATCCAAAAGTCTATGTTGTTTTCACTCATAAGACAGAGAAGAGTTAGCCGAAAGTTCTAACAGTTCTCTAAGTGACACGCGAAACACTTAAACATATATAATATCCGTCATCAATGAACCAATAATTTGCCTTCCGTCCAGTGGGATAATGAAAGTAAAACGATTGGCAAAGTCCATTAATACTCTTTGGTTCTTTCGGTAAAGTCACGTAGTAGGTATAAAATAAAAATAAATCACGACGTTTCGATCGTAACACAAGCGGTCGGCCTCAGGCAGAAAAAAATAATCCAGCGGTGGAACTGCTGAACCAGCGAGAGAGCAGCTACAACAAAGTTATATACGTGGCGATGGGCAAGGAAGCGGGGTCTGAGTTGGAAAGGAATTCCACCCCCGGATGCAAGCACCTCAGTTGTGTTCATGGGGATGAACACATATATAGATAGCCTTGTTGTAGCTGCTCTCTCGTTAGTTCAGCAGTTCCACTGCTGGATTATATTTTCTACCTACGTGACTTTACCGTAAGAACCAAAGAGTATGGATTCCTGCAGTCACGAAAGCTTCAAATCAAGATTAAAGTCTGTTAATGTATGTTGAACTTCCTCTGCAACGTACGTAGCCAACTGTGTTGATTGGAGGTATGGGGGAAGCACAATAAACTAAACACAAAAAAAACAGTTCAATTTAGTCTTCTACCGGTTATGAGTGTAATGCTCACACTCGGCTGTATTAAAATAAGTCAATTTAAAACAACTGCAAGGTCGATGCCACCATGCGTCCCCACACTCACTCCCTTCCTTCTCAGCTGTTTCGCAGTCAACACCGGAACCCCAAGGTCAGCTTACACAGAAGCCCACCATGTGGCTGAAGGTCTTCCTCTTGGTCACTGAACTCTGGGTGCCACTCCAATGCCCCTCTCAGAAACCTCTCCCCTTCTTCCCGTGCATCTGCCCCATCCATGACAACTTCCTCTGACTGATTATGTCCACTGTTCTATATTGCCATGGACTATTATCAATTTCCAACCTGTTTTACCCTACCCTGACATAAAATTACTCGTATCCTCTGCAAGCACTGCAGATAGCCATAATTTGTATTCATTGCTAACATAATAATACTTAGAAATAAAATAACAGTTTGAGGTCATTCGGGTAATGTCATTGCTTGAGCTGATGGGCCAATTCCCTTTTCAGTGTTCGTGCCAGTGGGAGGAAGCCATAGTTTCAGCAGAAAGCCATGCCTACGAGATGAGAGCACTTCACGTTAACACAGAAGGATCATCAGCCTGCTTGCTGTACTCTTCTTGCGATAGGCACACCACACTGATCTGCAAGTGGGGGGTCGTGTACGCTGTGTGCAGGTGCAGAAATTGCAGGGGCAATGGCTCATCGCAAATTGCTCCGACGCGATCAAATTTGTCGATGAGAACTGTTCATTACTTCTAATAAAGTAATATTTATTTGCATGTTATTAAAACAAAATTTCTGAAGGTCTCTGTCGTCATCTTTCCTCCTCATATTTTGTTCCATACAGTTAATTCATTGCAAGAGACTTTTGCCATACTAGGCTCTCACCTTGTTGTAAGTTCACATACTTGTGTTATAAGTTCACATGCGTGTGAGTATAAATAAGACGGCGCAAACCAAATGAATAATGGAAAGACATTCCTATTTGATCTGTCATTACATTTTTGTTTGCAGTTAAGTGTTTAAAATAAGAGTGGGAAATTTGTATTTTCAGAGAGGCGATGTGCAATGTTTGCAATATCACAATTGTACCACATCCACATTATGTCAATGTTAAATGTTATGGTATCGAGTTGGGGTCAAGGGGGTTAACGGTCAGCGAAGTTGTTTCTAGCATCCACTGTGAAATGCAACGTTTGGCCAGGACTGCTAATTCTTGCCGAGCTTATTATACCTTTTCTGCGTGGTGGGAAAAAAAGAACATGCTTACGGATAACAGGAATTGATAACTAAACCTTTCCATTATCCGCACCTGCAATATCACGGACAATCAATGCAATCAGCTACCAGGATGCATTTGCTTATCTGCGACCACCACCCGAATCAATTGTGAATGAAGACGGTTTCATTTAATACAATGGGACATCCAGCAGGGCTCCTTCAAATTAATAACCATTTGGCAACTGCGTGGGATTTAACTAATACGCTAATGCTGAGCAGTGTTAACACGTTAAGGCAACGTACACATTGGCAACTGCACTCCCCGTGGAGGTCATGTGACACAGAATCAGGTGCTTTGGGTTTGATGAACAAGTTGCCTGGCGTATGCACCCACCTGCATTCGCCACTCTTTTTAACTCGCCGGTTTAACCACTCGGCCATCTACTCGTACACGCACACTCGCACATACCGTGCCGTGCGTTCACGCACACATGCTAGCACACATGCGCGCGCGCGCGCACAGCGGACGGGCGTGGGCGGGGCGAGGAAGTGAAGAGCAATGTTTTTTGTGTTCCGTGCGAGCGCGCCTGTCATGCGTGCTCACGACACGTGGCGCTCAGAGCTAAAGCCAACGCCTAACAAAGCGTATTTTGGGTTTCCAGTGTTTTTCATTTTCAAAGTCCAAACAACGCAGGCCCTGTCACGGGACCTCCACGATCAACGACAATTTGCCGACGAGCACCCATTGTCGCAGTGCCCTGCGTCCAAGCGACCAGTGTGATGGCATACGCTAAACGGCTCAATTTCCGCGGAATCGTAACTTTAACATCATCCGTTGCTTCCATGAGCAGATCCAAGTGAGGTGGGCCAGTCCCTTCCTGGGGCTGTGCCCGTGCCAGTGTCTTACCACAGTACTGAAAGCAGTGCCTGAGATTTCATAAACGAGCTGGCTCCCTGGCCCATTGGGCACTGCATTTAAAATCGCCCATCACGATTTATGGGGCCGACGAGGGGAACGGTCGTGATGTCACGCGCCTGTGGCACGCGATTAGCCTGGCTCACTCTCGAAAGTGTGTTTTTCGTTTATAAACCACAACCAGCATTGCCAGGTCCATAGACTCCGGACGGTTTGTGCATGCGTATGCATTTCTGTACTCTTGTGTTTGTGAACTGCATGTATGTGTCGAGGTGCAATTGTGTTTGTGTGCATGTGAGATACAGCGCCAAGGGACATTGCACTATGAACACGTTTACCAGAGTTGGATTCCCGGCCGGGGCTAACATCAGCGCCAAATGATGTCCGTATCAGACACGGGCCTACCCTATGTCACTTTAGCCTCAATTGTGTACCTGGTGTGGTGCCAGAACTTTGGACACAGAGGTGGCCAGGCATGGTTATGGCCACACCAAGTCCTCAGGCATCCTTAATTTCATGTCACTAATATTTAAAAAGCGCCTTCACTTAAGGCGCTTGACATAGCTTACAACACGATGACAGAATGGAATGATGTAGTTGGCAGGGGTGCACAAGGATTGAGAAATAAATGACAACAAAATAATGTACTTCGGGGATCAGAACTTGACCCAAAAACCTCAGCAGGCATGTGGTGGATCTTTGTCTCTGCGTGTGCGATGTGGTGCAGTAATTTACACACTATGCTACAATCCTAGCAGCTGTGGTTCATTTCCCAGCTGTGACACAAAACATCAGTGGCGAGTGATATCTGAACCTTTTTCGGAGCCTTCGCTAGGCCAACTCGGCCTTAAAAAAGGTACCTTGTGGAGTAAGTTCCTAGAAGTACTGGTGAGACAAAAGGTGCGGTTACTCACCGCACCTCCGCCTCTTGTGCCGTTCCAGCCTTAACAGGCGCGCACTAGCAACACTTGCCCTTACAGTCTATAACGCTTTATCTGTGTGTGTGTATGCCTGCGTGCGTTTGTGTTTTGGGCGTGAGCACCACGTACCTGTTCCCTGTGTGTTTTGTCACTGTTTGCTCAAGTCGGTGCAGAATTGATTTTATGAGACGGAATGGGAACTTGAAAGTGGTGGCTTTTACGGCGCCTTTGATTTGCTTGCTCTGCGGCGGCATTGCTAGACACCCGCACAACGCGATCTCTCCCTCTACAGGGCAGGGCTCATTGAAACTGGGCTACGCCAAAAGGCACTCGGCCACATAGCGTGGCTCTACCCAAAGGCAACCGCTGTATTGAACAGCAATGGATTCCTGCATCTATCGTGGGCTTTCTCTGTGTGGTTTTCTCTCACATCCTGAACACTCATTAGTGAAATTGGCCAAACATCTCAATGCAGGAGCCTACTGAGACACAGTCTTGAGACTCAGCGAGTCGATCGTGGGTACATGAAGGCCATTGTTTTGTTATTACAGTATGCAACACGAGACGTGGTCATGTTGCCTCACAGCAGGATGTGACATGTGCTCGGAGTGAATGTTACTGCTTAGGACTCACCCAAAGTTCGGGACAGCACGGGAAGAGCAGAACTCAGCACCAAGAGGCTCACGCAGTTACCGATAATCTGAGAGCGGCACACACACAGAGACAGACATATACAAAGACACCTGATCAGCACTGAACACCGTCTCTGCTATTAGAGAGCACCTTAATGGCCAAGTACCTACCGTGGCCGGGATGATCACTGAGTAAGTGGTGTGGCCAACACCAAGCTGATGATAACACATACAGTGAGGGAAAAAAAGTATTTTATCCCCTGCTGATTTTGTACGTTTGCCCACTGACAAAGAAATGATCAGTCTATAATTTTAATGGTAGGTTTATTTGAACATTGAGAGACAGAATAACAACAACAAAATCCAGAAAAACGCATGTCAAAAATGTTATACATTTGCATCTTAATGAGGGAAAATAAGTATTTGACCCCTCTGCAAAACATGACTTAGTACTTGGTGGCAAAACCCTTGCTGGCAATCACAGAGGTCAGGCGTTTCTTGTAGTTGGCCACTCATTAATGGCCGAGGTATCCAAAGATGGCCTGGCATGGGTCTTGCCAAACCACCTCCTCATGCACCCTGACGGCCTGAATAGGTCCCTGCTCGTCTAAAGGTGCTCACAAGCTACAATAGGTGCTTGCTAGGCGACACAGGGGATGTTTGTCTTTGACACGAGTTTGTGCTTCAGTGAGAGAATGTATAATAAAGCAGGGAACGCTTATTAAAAATAGATTGGCATGAAAATTTCCATGCACACATCCTCATGAAAACAGGTCTTGAGACTCTGAAGTTTTCTCAGTGCATGGTCACACTTTGCTGTCACGTTGAAATAACCAAATTAAGTTGCACACTTGTGTCATACGGAACTGGACAAGTCGAGGTGGAGTTTATTACCTACTCAAACTGGAGTCACCAGGAACCACCGATACAAAACTTTATTTTATTTTAACTATATCAGGCCCATTGGGCTATATAGCTCTTCTGCAGAAGCGAACAGGCCACAAATGATAACTCAACGAAGTGCCTTATCATGGTGAAATTTATAAGCGCATGTTTCTGAATAGTCTAGCAGCACTGATTGGAGAGGGGAGCTTCGTGGTGTTGGGCGCCGCTCAGCTGTGTACATTGTGGGCCAATGCGTTGCACTTGTACCTTGGTCATTGGCATGCTGCGGTTTCTGGGTAGGAGCGTGCAGAAGTGGGGCAGGCTGTAGAATCCCACCACAGACGACACCATAAGGTAGCTGGCATTGGATGACGTCAAGGTCTGTACGCTGCCAGCACTGCCAGTGCATGCTCGGATTCCTGGAGAAATGTCTAGCACAGCCGTCGGCATGTGGGGTGGGTGGGGTGGGATAATGCAGGGATGGGCCCTTTGTGTTTGTGAGACACCCACCTGTGGGGAAAATGGAGCAGTGCCTGTAAGAGGTGACAACAATTACAGTAAAAGCTTGGATTGCGAGTAACTTGGTCTGCGAGTGTTTTGCAAAACGAGCAAAATTTTAAAATAAATATTAATTTGATAAACGAGCGAGGTCTTGCAATACGAGTAAGTACGTGCACGCTTTGTCTGCCGAGCGTCACGTGATCACAACTGATATACGAGTGCTTTGATATACGAGTGATTTGGATTACAAACACGTTTCCGGAACGAAATATGTTCGCAATCCAAGGTTTAACTGTACTTAGATCTACACACGTAGAGTTTCAGTGTTATCTTCTCTCACGTGCCAGGTGTCTCTGGGTGTTTCAGTATCATAATGCAAGCACGAAATATTTGATGAACAGTTTTCCAAATTTTCCAAAGGGAACCCTTATGGGACCGAGTCCTAAGGCTCAATGAGATGTCTCTGTGTAACTATAGCCACTTATTTGAAATAAAACTATTGATTTTCCTTCACAAAAGCATTCATAAGTAAACTAAGAGTGTAGACATGTGGCATTTTGACTTTTACTCTTGTTTATCCAGAAAAGCCTCACCGAGTCTCATGGACTCTTTCATACGTATGTATGTACGTTGAACTTCTTTCGCACCATACGTAGCCAACTGTGATAATTATCGGAGGTGCGGGAATGGGAGGGTCCTGCCAAGTTTTTGCAACAGAGGGCGATGTTGCTATGCGTGTAAACCCAATTGAGTAATTCGCAGCAAATGTTGAGCATGAGGATATTTGGGTCAGTACCAGTTACATAGCTATGAGCAGAAATCAGAGGACGCAGGAAACTCATGCAGAACAAGGCAAGCACTCTCTAGGCCCGAGTTGGAAATCGAACCCAGGCCCTATCTTGCTGTGAGGTCACGAATGTTACGACTGCACCACCGCCCAGCCAGCCAGCGTGAGCATGTACATGTGGGGATCTGGGCGTGGAGGCTGCGAAAAGGATACAAGATGAGCGCCACTTCCAAAGTGGCTCCCAGAGGCCCGAACGCCGAGAGAGAGGCCTTCCCAAAGCCCACCTCCTAGCACAGGGGCAAGACAACGGACAACACGGGGGTGTGGGTGGGGAGCCCATGGGGAACGGTGGGCATCACCGTGACAAGGCGCTGTGGTCACTGTCAACAGGGAGGAGTTAGCAATGAGGGAGAGGGGCAGGAGAAGGAACAGCCTGGTGTGGCACCGGCCAGGTCTGTCCCGGAGAAAAGCAAACGTTGATTACGCCTGGCCAGGCCTTGCAGGTTTACAGAATGCCTGGCAACAAATACGTTTTAGTGTATGCACACATGTAGTGAACATTATACTTTGGTTGGTCTGGCAAAACTTTATAAACACTCCCCCAAAAAACCTGTATTATGTGCAAAACAACGATACAATACAAATTCTTGGTTCTTTCGGTAAAGTCACGGAGAAGGGAAATAACATTATTTTATTGTTTCCCTTCTACGTGACTTTACCGAAAGAACCAAGAATATGAATCCCTGCAGTCACGAAAGCTTTAAATCAAAAGATACAATCCAATTAAAATTTACAAAAAGTCTAAATGCAAAGGCATGTTGGGATGCTGTTTAAGCATCACACCAGGTATGTGTGAGTGTATAATTTGAACCATCAACCTACAGGCTTTCCAGATCATTAAAAGCTATACGTTTTGGTTTTTTCGGTAAAGTCACGTAGGTAAAAAATAAATAAAATGAATGAAAAATTATTTAAATCACGACGTTTCGGGCGCAACACAAGCGTCCTTCTTCATGTAGTGAAAGCACAAACGCTTAAGTGTGTCTCAGAGATGGCTGTGACGAGGGATTGTATAGTAGTCGCGGGGCATGGAGAGAGGGGGGGGGGGGCATGGTGAGTGTGGGGGCGCGGTGTGGGCTGGGAGGACAAGTTGCAAAACCGAGGGTGCACTGGGAGACAACTGGTGGTGCCGAGACTGAGGCTTTGTGATGTAGATGGTGGAAGTCAATAAGCAAGCTAGGATTAAGCCGCCTTTTGTTATGCTGCCGGGTGGGTAAGTTAGAAATGCTAGTTCCCCATGCCCACCGTTCCCCAAAAGCTAGTAGCGTTAGTTTACACAAGGTAAAAACCTCTGCCTCGGGTTTTATTTCACGGTGTCATCATCAGGGGTGTGGTCTGTAAAACCAATGCCACTGAGCAGTTTGATTTTGTTGGCAAAAGCCATTAGTTAACATTGTGGCTTGAACATAAATACTCCAAATAAATAATGAACTTTGCTGGAAAATTACTTGTTCAAATAAAACAAACAGATGCTGGAGTTGTTTATAATTATGAAATAAAGTAACATTCGATCCATTGACCACAAAACCTCTTGGATCAATGTTCCTCTGTTGGGTTTTCTGAGGAGAATGTGCAAATCTCATGTGTGGGGGGCTGCCGCCACATGAACATTCTGATGATGACCAGGGGCTCCTTCTCTCTGCAGGCCTTAGCCTCAAACCAGTCATTGTTCAAATGAGCAGCCTGAATAAAGCCTCCACCAGTTACAGTGCTTCTTCTTTCGTATGGCTGATGTCAATGCAGAGGAACAGCTACAATTCCACATTCAGGTGGTTAAGCCAGATAACCACATCAGGAGCAGTGGAGTATATCGCCGTGATGTCTCCTTCATGTTTGTGGATCGGGAATTGCGTCGTTAAGATGTTGAACTGTCTGTTCTGGATGACCACAGTCACACACTGGAGAGGTTTTAATTTTCGATTTATGCTTCAGGTATCCGCATCTTCCACGGTTTGTGCGGATGCTATTTAGGGTGGACCATGAGCTTCATGGAAAATCAAAAACTCAGGGAGCTTCTGCTTACAGCACTAAGACAACACGAAGGAGAGTACATTCCAATTCCTGGGCTCACGCCGCCAAAGTTAAATGCGCCGAATGAGTTCACCACGTTTGAGTGCGACTTGCTCAATAATTATTGATAATCAGGCGAGAGAACGTTGAGGGTGAAAGCCTCTTCTGCAAGCGAGACCTGGGTAACAAAAGCTGGCACAGCACAGAACATTTGCAACAAAAATGTAATCAAGAACCACGGTGTACTCTGACAAAATATCTGCAAACCCAATTAAACCTTAAAACAGCAAGAGAAATTATTGAATATAGTTACGAAAACCAGGCAAGAGGTAATACAAAAAAAATGCCTAATTGATATAAATAGCAAAACCTGTTGCAGTTGCTTATGAATTAGTTTCAATCACACCGGATGACTCCGTGGCAGAGAATGTAACTAAAAGTCGGAAGCATCCGAGTTAAAACACTATTTGGGGTCAACCCAGCAAATCATTTCCCCAGGATAGAGACATTGAGCACCACACATTGTGAAAGCTCAATAGTCAATGGTTTAGAGATACTCACCCTTGTCATAGGAATGTGGAAATCACACCTCTGGCGCAGGGCTGTTAATTACTCTAAGCACCGTACAATGCTCTTTTGGGTATGGAAACACTTTCAATTTGAATCTTGCTTATGAGAGATTCACACAAAAAAGAACATTCTAAAAATGTAAATGATGACATAAAATCACTGACAAATAATCTTTCGGCCAAGAGGTTTTCAAATAAGTCAATCCGAGTAGCCCACCATACTGAAGGTACACTTCGTCATCATAAGGACTCATCATCAATCATCCACATCCAGCTACAGACTGCCAAGGACAGGTCCCAGCAATGAAAAGAGCAGCAATTAATAAAAAAATCAAGCAAGAACTCATGCACTCGGGTTAATTTTCACTAATGAAATAACAAAATCGGATTAAGTGCTTCCTCAGGCACCCCCCCCCCCCCCTCCCCGGACGTTGAAACCGTGCGTCTCGAAGTGACTTTACACCGTCCTGGATGGCCCGGGGACGCCCGCCAGTCCACCACCGCCAGGCATCCTGTTTTAACTCTGCCCTGCTCTAAAATTAACGGTTTGCAAATAAACAACGGCTGCAGTGGAAGACACACCTAATTAGCCGTGAGCGCCCTTCCCGGAATCCATTTCCCTTCCACAGTCGGGGCGTTATTCGTTCGTTGCCAGCGTGCGCGGATTTTTTTTTTTTTAGAGAGAGAGAGGGCTCGCGACGCGTGCAGCTCCCCCCCCCCCCGCCGCCCCCGGGCAGACTCACGAGCGTCATCCTGGCCTCGGAGTTTCTGGGGGCCTCGGCGAGGATACATTAAGGCCATTGTTGTATAAAATAAATAGAAATACAAATAAACCCAGCGGTCAGATTCCTGCCACGTATTCCAAGCGAGGATAAAATTAAAGCGAGGGGGAAAAAAGGCACGAGAGCGAATCTGCCGACAAGCCACGTCAGCGTGGGAGCAAGGGAGTAACGCAGACATTTGCGGTGCTAAAAATAATGCGTACTTTACCCCAAAATGTGCACCGGCACTCTAAAGGTCAAGCGCCACGTCGCTATCGGGAATGAAAAAAGTGAGCATTGGTACAGAGGAAGACCTCTGTAGACCTTTAATGTCCATAATAAAGGTTTTTGGGTTAGATCGCGTTATCTAAAAATATGTCGTAACCCTCCACCACCCGACACGGCCAAACAGTAAAAAATGTGTCACGTTTACAAAGGACAAATAGTTCACTACTTTCGCCCACCGGTGTGTTGAAGAGTGAATCAACAACATCTTAAAATTTGAGTACGACGTTTCGCTGGTAATTACATCCAGCATCATCGGGCAATTCGCCAGAATTGGTAAGCCCTTACTTGCTCCCGGTCTTAAATAGACCAGCAGGGTGACGTCATCATTTAACTCATTCAGGTGCAGTGAATTAAGGCGGAGGGGGGGGGTATTGTAATTATATAATCGATTGGTAATCAGTCAATGGTTATGATTAGCAATGAGTTGTAGATTAGTAATTAGTTGTAGATTAGTAATGAGTTGTAGATTAGTAATGAGTTGTAGATTAGTAATTAGTTGTAGATTAGTAATGAGTTGTAGATTAGTAATGAGTTGTAGATTAGTAATGAGTTGTAGATTAGTAATGAGTTGTAGATTAGTAATTAGTTGTAGATGAGTAATTAGTTGTAGATTAGTAATGAGTTGTAGATTAGTAATGAGTTGTAGATTAGTAATTAGTTGTAGATTAGTAATGAGTTGTAGATTAGTAATTAGTTGTACATTAGTAATTAGTTGTAGATTAGTAATGAGTTGTAGATTAGTAATGAGTTGTAGATTAGTAATTAGTTGTAGATTAGTAATGAGTTGTAGATTAGTAATTAGTTGTAGATTAGTAATTAGTTGTAGATTAGTAATTAGTTGTAGATTAGTAATTAGATGTAGATTAGTAATGAGTTGTAGATTAGTAATGAGTTGTAGATTAGTAATGAGTTGTAGATTAGTAATTAGTTGTAGATTAGTAATGAGTTGTAGATTAGTAATGAGTTGTAGATTAGTAATTAGTTGTAGATTAGTAATGAGTTGTAGATTAGTAATGAGTTGTAGATTAGTAATGAGTTGTAGATTAGTAATGAGTTGTAGATTAGTAATGAGTTGTAGATTAGTAATTAGTTGTAGATTAGTAATTAGTTGTAGATTAGTAATTAGTTGTAGATTAGTAATTAGTTGTAGATTAGTAATGAGTTGTAGATTAGTAATTAGTTGTAGATTAGTAATGAGTTGTAGATTAGTAATTAGATGTAGATTAGTAATTAGTTGTAGATTAGTAATTAGTTGTAGATTAGTAATTTAGATTAGTAATGAGTTGTAGATTAGTAATTAGTTGTAGATTAGTAATGAGTTGTAGATTAGTAATTAGTTGTAGATTAGTAATGAGTTGTAGATTAGTAATGAGTTGTAGATTAGTAATTAGTTGTAGATTAGTAATTAGTTGTAGATTAGTAATGAGTTGTAGATTAGTAATTAGTTGTAGATTAGTAATTAGTTGTAGATTAGTAATGCGTTGTAGATTAGTAATGAGTTGTAGATTAGTAATGAGTTGTAGATTAGTAATGAGTTGTAGATTAGTAATGAGTTGTACATTAGGAATTAGTTGTAGATTAGTAATGAGTTGTAGATTA